ATATAATATAGAAAAATATATAAGATATAGAAAGTGGGATACTTGTCATTATTTTGGGCAGAGATAAACTACCGTGTAGATTTCGTTTCTTTAGTTCACTTCATAAAAATATAAAATAGCATAAAAATTCGCAGCCTAATAATCAGTGTTCAAATACTTTCGCGAGCCATTGTACGTTTCTAGTTATGGCGCTGCAGAAAGAAAATTGTCGAGTGCTCTTTGTAAACACTGTAGCCACTGCGAGGCTTTATGCAACTTTTGCATCAGTCGACGTCGTTTCGTTTCGCTTTTCTTAATCTTTCATTCGCGACCATACGACGAGCACATTCGTGTCAAAGTTTCAAGCGTCGGAAATTCCAGCGACAGTTGCGATGCCCCGATATTCCATTGCGGTTTTCATTCCTTTCAAGCATTATCCAGGTAAAAAAGTTGAAAACGCTCCACGGTGGTTTCCGTTTTATCTAACATTAATTTCGAAATCATACCGTTCCTCTCTCTCTCTCTCCATCTCTGTCTCTTTTACGTATTTATCGACTCATTAATAACAAAACAGAGGAAGGTACGCAACCTGCGGAGCTCCATAGGAAAGAGGCTTTTAAAAATTTCAAGCAACCATTCCATGGATATATAGCATGCAGTATACATCCCTGCTATTCCTGTTTTCGATCCATCCGGTTTTTCTTCGATCGTTAATTCTTTTCCTTCCGGCGCACAACGGTTAAATTACACAATTTAGACGGATAAATTTATTAAATTTTTCATGCATCTTTTGACGTTATTTTACTTTCTTTATGCACTGCATGACATTAATATGAAATTGTCCTATCATTTTCAATTCCCGCATCAGTACGAGATATAAATTACGACAAACTTTCATTAGCGGTTTCTTACCACTCTTGATCCTAACTGGGCTGCGGATTTTTATGCGTTTACGGAAAATTTAAGGACGCAAAAATATACAAAACAAAGCTCCATTTAATTTCTATTTTTTCAGTTCCATTCGTAAACATATAAATTCGCACAAAAATCTACAGTCTTCCGATAACATACGAGAACCTTAAAATTTTAGATTGAGCTTCATAGTAGTGAGACGCAGCGTGTATCCATAACTTTAGCAAATTCTAACCGATCTCGATTCTCGTAATCAAAGGAGAAAGAATCGAAGGAGACGTTCTCCAGGTCGGGGTCAGAACTTTTTTTCTGTTCGCGCAGGACGTTTACTTTGGCGAGTCGGAAGTCGGGCGTACAGTAGCGGAATACATGTGGAGTTTCGAGCACGTATAAGGTCTGTTTTATGGGGGACGGATAAAGAAAAGTTTCGAAGGTTCGAGCGTACGTATACGGAATTTCTTCGATCTTTCCTATACCGGGAGGAACGATATTTCAGGTATGTGATGAGAGGCGGAGACACGGACAGAGCTTCTTTATAGCGTCACTGTGAAAACATCGATAATCTTGGAAACTTTGTACGCGTCCTCGACGATTCATGGGGCACCGTGCCGTGTCTTAAATCGTGGTAATTGTTTGCTCAGGGAGGAGGGATATTGTGATTGGCTTAGATTACTATGATACGAATATTTCATCTCCGCGATTCGTATTTGTCTACTCGAATTAGAATTTAAGAGTACACATAGTGATAGATATTACGATTGGTATACGTCTGACTAAACGCGGACTATTCTACTTGAAGTAATTTAAGTGGCCGTTTAAGAGAAGGTGTATTAACGGACGTACGATATCGTCACAGAAATCTATCAATGCGTTCATTTGATTCTTATGAAATGGAAGAAGGAAGAAGATTAAGTGGAGTCTACATTTTCGAAGTTTTTCTTTTTTGATAAAAATCGATATTGTCTCCGATGACAACTCTCTCCAACAGAGGCTTATAATTATTTAAGATACACCCCTGTTCGTGGGTAACACAATATTCAGTGGTCTTGCGTAAGCAACATGACAATTGTCTTAGATCTTCAAGAAGAAGATCGATTGATCGGGATTTTGTATTGGTATAGGATAACGATATATGTAAGAAAGTAACGAATGGATAATTATGTATTGATCTCCAAAAAATTCTCTGGGCTAGAAAGATAATAATACGAGTACCAGAATTATGTAAAATAGCGATCAAAGATAAAATACACAACTGAGAAAAACATTTTTCTTACAAGTCTCCAAGTTTCCAAACAACAGATAATAATTCCTACATCCCTTAGAAACTTCGTAATAATTTCTCGTAATAACTTTACTTCATTCTCCATAAATACCCCGATTATTTCCAGAATGAGGATATACGTTAAACTTACGATTTGTAAACAATATTAGACACCTATAAATTAAAAAGCGAATTAAAATTTAACAAGAACAATAAAGAGCGACATGTAAATGGCACTTTAGAGGCCGCGCAGCATATTACACGTCTATAAATCATCTTTCTTGCTCGACTTTCTTTGAAAAACTCGGGAGAACGGGAATACGGTTCTTGAACGGTGAACGTAGAACCTGAACGAGACCCAGGGACATTTAATATACATGGAACGCCGACAGAGCAATCGATGGAACTTGCTTATTGGCAATTTGTCGAGTGACGGGATGGGATGCGGGGGACCTGGTAACGAGGAGGTTGTTTTCCGAAGACAGGTCTCTGCCTCACGGCGTAAAATCGGTCCCTATCCTCGGCCATCGGATGTACAACGACGACCAGACGAGGAACGACGGCAAGGGAGAGTTTGGAATCTTCCGCGGGATGCAATTTATCCTGTCGCATTAGATTCAAAATAATTGATCCCCCGGGCGGGCGCGGAATAGCGAATCATTACTTCAGACTGATGGCGCCCCCACCGACCGAGTTTTGCCGACGAGGAAAATGAAAACTCGGTGATCACCTGCTTCCGATGAAAAATTTGACGGGGCAGATCGGCGAAGAGGAACACACCGGAACACGGTACCTTCGAACCGAATAAAATGAGTTTCCCGTGGTTGCAACGCTGGCTAAAATTCGCTATCCTCAACGGAAGCGTGAACTGGTACGTCCATTTCCTGATCTAAGTTTTAGGGACTTTGATATTGATGCTTTTGCATATTTACTGGGTTCTAAAAGGACTTAACACTGACAGATATACTGTCTTGTATTTTAATTTGATACTGAGAGAAATTGACTCGTATTTTCACTCGATATTGATAGGAACTATTTTGACTTGTTGGAATTGTTTTGACTTGATGAGTCTGAAGGAAACCAGTCTTTTACAATGAACCTCTATACAAACATAAAACCAAGTCTGTCGAACGTTGTGATCTTTATTTTGATAGAACAAAATGGATCGTACGTAATTTGATAAAATAATAAAAACGGAAAATGTTGTGGATCTATTATTTCCTTATAAAACGAAAGAAACTACTCGGACGACATAATATTTTGATTCTATACTAGGAGGAATTTATTTATATTTTAATTCGATACTAATAAAAATTGATTTTTGTGATTCGATTTGGCACTGAAAGGTTTAAATTGATTTATATTTGAATTTGATTCTGAAACGATTCAGTCCTATGAGAGACTGGTGTATATTTGGATGTGATATAAAGAGAAATTGATTGATATTTTTATTTGACACCGAAAGAAATTGACTTGTATTTTGATTTTATATTAAGAAAAACTTATTTGTTGATATATTTGTGTTCTGATTAGCATTTTAATTTAGTACCGACTTTGATGTTCATTTTGATGCTGAGAGAAACTGTGAAACCGATCCTTTAGTATGTTGATTAATGGTACGAGGTAGTAATATTTACTTGTTCGATCGAAGCTTTAAAAGAGTAGTCCGTAGCTTTGAAGAAATAAATTGCAATATACTCTGATATTTGGCTCGGGTTTAATTTATGAACTGATTTCGATGTTCACATATTTTGGTATTCTGCGTGTTTGAAGAAAGAAAAATGTATTTTTGAAATGCATCCTGATATTTGGCTTGGACGATATTGATTAAATTTACTGACTAATTTAATTGCCTTTGTAAATCAGTGATATAAATGAAATATTTAATGAATAAAAGAAAGTACGAATAATACAATGACTAAAACAAGAGGCGCCCCGAATATCGCACGTTATTTTTCAAATGTAATTCTGGATAAAGTAACTTATAATTAGATATTGACAAGCGACATGTCTCGATTCTCTACTACAAGCATCTTGTTTGCTTGCAGGAAGCAAAGAATGATAATTCATTGTACTTGTTACTTTAATCTAAAATCCGAAGACTAATATAATCATATAGTATTAATCGAACGAAACATTTAAAAAATGTAATACAACTTCCAAATCGCGTGACAGTGAAAGACACTGCTGCGAAAAGTGTGAAAATAAAAAGGAACGATCTATACTAGCACATTCAGAAGACATATGGAATTGTTTGCAAGAAGTATAACGGAAACGAATTCGTCTAAAGGTACATAATTTTTCGGTCGATCACCGGCGTTTGTCGATCAGCCACGAATTTCATCATGCGTTCCGCGATTGATGAAATCCAGTGCCGCTACGGGAGGTTGAACGCGCGAGACGCGGCTAGCCAAATCTGGTATAATAATTAAACCCGGAATCGAATTTCACGACACTTAATAGATATTGTCAAAGATAATGTATTTCGCGACACTGTGAACGCGAGGAGAAACCGTGTCGTTTAAAATGAAATTTGTATCCATGTGACGGTCGCTTTCATATTCATGGTCTATTAAAATTTGCCAACTATACGTACAGCGTAGCGAAATGATTGAAATCTGAATAAAACACGACCGACGAATACCATCGCTGTGGTATAGTATTCTCCGGTGTGCGTATGGAATTTATCTAATTAATAATCGCGGATGGTAGCGTGCATTAAATTGTCGGCAAAGTGCACTCGAGTGCAATTTATCCAGGAACAATTTGGGAAATAAAAAGAATGAAGAAAGAAAAAAAAGTAGGTGGCCGAACGGGATAAAAAAAGAGGAAGTGTCTGGCTACTCACGTATATCGAGTGCTCGAACATCGAGGCTGGTTCCGAACAGCGTCAGCAGCGCGCAGAACTTGGCAATTATTGGCAGGCAATCAGTCTTCATGGTCGCCGAGGTGTGGTGTCTTCATGGAAGCTCGTGGCAATCGCCTGAAAACACATCGAGACAAAAAATTTACTCCCAAGTTTATATACTTTCGAGCGCCGCGCCGCCCGGTAAAATTACTTTCTTAAGTTCCTGACTACTTTCTTAAGTTTCTGAATGTTACTTGCTCTACCTTGCTTTCTTTCCTTTTTTAGAACACGAAACTTCGGATGTGTGTCAGGGACGATAATCTAAGGTGGAAATTAAACAATAAGTCGATAATTCTTTAAATATCCGTGCCTTTCTACGATGCACGGCAACAGATTAAATATTTTCAAACGAATAAGCAAAGTACTATATTTTCGTAGTTAAATTGTTACAAACTTTTAAATCATCGATACAAACGCAAGGTAGAGATTGAATGATAAATTATTAATATTTTAAGTATCTTTGTTCTGCAATAATATATTACAGATTAGAAATCTCTGCAAAAATATTCTTCAATGTATTATGGAATATCATTAATCGTACTAAAATTACTACCAAGTAGGTAGTTGTAGCGCGATACTAAAATTCTGAGTGGCCTATCGATAATCGAGCTTCTTCCACGGAACTATAATAAATCATGTCGTCAAAGCACCAAGGTAGCCCGATCTTTCGGAAATAAATAGCCCGAGCAGCTCAATATACATTACAATACAAAATACCAACATTCATCTAGGCACCGTCGATCGTACCAGTCATCAATCTCCCAAGATATATCTCGTCTCGCCTTTTTATTCCTCGCGACACGCACGCCATCCGTTCGCCTTCTCGAAACGTTATCGTTCCTTCTCAATTTAGTTTCCCCGTTGTCCTTGGATCCGATAAAACCATTGATCTTTACAGGGTCACACGTTCAGGGGGTAGAAACCGTCAAAAATTGGCAACTATCGTCATAAATATGAATTATATGGGAAATCAAATAGATCGACTTCTTCTGAAAACTTTTCAATTTTGGTACGAAAGTAATCAGGGTTTAATTCTTCGGAAACTAAACCATTATACTTTATGGGAATAATTAGTTTGACTTTTCTAAGGCTTATAATGAATATATGAATTCTATTTATTTGAATGAAATTTTAATTAGTTGCTAATTAGATGTACTCTTCCAGACTGACTCTACTTATTTATAGGTGAACTCTTATTAAATGAGCTCTAGTAAACTATTTATCTGCAGACGAGTTTTATTGTAATATAATTCCTCATGTCTTAATATCTCGCTCGTTGATAAGATATTCTCTTCTATTATATCAACTTATTGTCAAGACATCGTGTCCTAAATCATAGTCTGAAACTTAAGTTGACTAAATATCAAAAGGAAAGCCAACCCTTTTCTTTCAATTTTCTTACTGTACAGCAAAAGAATAGACGCGTAACGCAGATACAAGTAGAGAAGAACCTCCGCAGCTATTAGAACGCTTTCATACCTTTCCTGGTATTCGATATAATTGTATCTCGTATTTTCAATCATTTTTTAATAGATGTTAAGGTTTCCGAAAATAATAAAATAATAATTAAAAAATAGTAAACATTTTTTTTCTCTATCATAAACCTTAGAACGATCTATTTTAAACAATAAAAATGCATAGCATTAACTTAATATTTTATGTACAATTTTATCAATACCTTTTCCGTAATAACATCGAACGATAGGGGATAAGGAACCCTAAAAATAGGGGATTTGATCGATTCACGAGTAAAACCACGAATGATTCAGGTATTCCTTTCGCTTGGTACGACATTAGGTAACCAGTCAGCCCTGATAGTCCCTGTGGTACGTGTATCGCCTGGAGAAACACAGAAATACCGACTCGTAATCGAGTCCCTGCTCAATTAGCCCAGCCTTGCACTTTTGCGTTCCTCTGCCAGATCGTGTGAAAGACTAAGTAAGAGGAAACGAGACGAGAGAAAAGGGGAGGCATTCCTTTGGCTTTGCTCCATTTTTACTGCAGTCGGAAACGGCTCTTACGGTCACGCAACTACTATTCGACGTGCCATCTGGTTGGTCTATCGGCGAAATAAAGAACGGAATTTCGCCCGATTCAGTCCCAGCAACTAGACAAAGCGTAATTAACGGCATGAGATGTAATTGATTGAGACGAAAGGCGTCAAAGTCTCTGTCGGCTTGTGCCTGAATGCTCGTGATATTTTGGCTGCAATCCTAGCGACTGCGACGCGATACGAAAGATTCGAAAAGTTCAAAATGGTATTTTATGGAAGGATTTAAGATGCACGTACTGTTATATTGAAAAGTTCTAACGTATACGTACTTTCATATTTAAAAATTGTAAAACACGTGTATTGCGGTATTGCGTATTTTGATTCTTGAAAATTTTGCCATTCGTGAAACCCGGTGATTGGAGTTTTAAAAAATTTGATAAATAAGGTCTCTCAAGAGAAAGTACTTTTAGGAAAGTATATCGTATCAGTAAAAATTATTATACGATTCATAGAATCTATACACCGTGCTATAACTAAAATCCTACAGTGAAATAGGTCCTAAATTTCATAAGACCCGATAAAGAAGGTCACAAAACACAAAAGACTTGCCATAAAAGTATCTCTAAATCTATAACACCCTGACCATAAAACCTTAAACCTTCAAGATACGGTACAACTAAACCGAGATATCGTTGTACTTGATAAAAGAATCACCTTAATCTATAGTGCCTATCAACGAGATCCCCGACTCTCGTCTGAAGAATCTCGAGGATCTGGGTGTTCCGAAAGGTTTCGCTGGTTTCAAGAATTTCCGGGAATATCAAGGGTTTCGGAAGGGTTTCCACGAGATTCTGGAAGATTCTACGAATTCAGAAGTTTCAGGCGTCCTCAGGAGTATCGAGGATCTCAGTGGTTCTGAGGAGGTCCAGAACGTCTCAGGGTATTTCTACGTTCCCTATGTAAGTGAACGTTTCAATATATTGCGAATCTAGGGGATTCTGAAATATTTGACTCTTGAGAAACGAAAGGTTCTAATAATTCTAAAAACTTTCTGAATTTGTACTTTCGAACTTTTGAATTGTTCTCCAGGATCAGGGATGTAAAAGTTCCTAAAATATTTCAGAGGTGGCAAAGATTCTACGAAGTTCCAAAGATTTGTTCCGAATTCTAGGGAATTTGTGAGGCTTCCGAATTGTTGAGATCTACCTTCAAGACCTTGAAGATGCCAAAATGCTCTGACAACATCGATGTTTCTAGGAACCTTGGTAACCATCAATAGCTCACCTAGATTCCGATAACTCTTGGAACCTCCGGGATCACCGCAAACCATTCAGACCCTGAATACCTTCGGAAACCCTGGAACCACCGATATCTGCCCAAAACTATCGGTACTCTTGGAACCTCGTTAACCGTTATGTGGATCCAAGGTCATTTGTAATTGCATCTAAGGATCTACATTCTTAGGTATGGCTGTATCTATGCACCTAGTTGTGGAATTGTACATGTAATATTTCTTTTTCCAAGTTGAATAATATTGTAATGGGAGTTTCTTCCTTTTGCGTCATTTTTTACTCACTATAGCAGCAATATAAGTATAATTTTTATCATGGTTACTTCATTAAACTCGACGTGCTTAAATTAGGTTGGTGGTAACTTTTATTATATATCTACCAAACTAAGTCTACAGTTTCTCAAACATTATGCAAAGGTATTGACAAAATGAAGTTTGCTTGTATTTCAGAAACGAGTTACTACTCTTTTTATTTACTTAATATTCGAGATGTCGCTAATGACCAATTTTCTACCACATACATACGACTACAGCGTTCCACGTCTGTCATATACTCACAACGATATGATCATCGAATCAATCGAGTTCAGATGACATTTACATATATTGAATGGATTTAAGGATACCAACATGTGATTACATGAGTTCAAATGTCTCCGCATTTGACATTGTTTTTGTCATATTAGGATTATACTATACGTTATATTATAAAAAGATTGTTGTTCGCTGCTTTTACGTAACATAATTAATCCATCATTTTCAAAAAGTCGATAACCGTATTCGATGCAATTTACAATCATAGTAAAATGACACGCAACGTCGATTTTTATTAAGCCTTTATTACCACACTCGGTATATTAGATTATCTGTTAATTAAATGGTTCCATTCTCGTAACATTAGTGTGTCTGTGTCAAATATCCTCATTAATGACTCGCTAATTACAATTATTGTAAACGTAGATATTTCCAACGGGGGAAAATTTGTGTACATCGTTGTCCTTTTTTTTCGTGCAAACAATTAACCGCACTCGACATTCATCGATTACGTTTTCATGGATTTGATAGCCGAGATATATGTACATCTCCTATTTCGATGACCGTGTTTAAAGGAGCCTAGCCCATTGCAGTATCGATCGTCCGATGTGACTGCAATAGCTCGTTATCCATTGTCGAAGTTCGTAGTACACGCAGTTCACTTCGTCCAAGACATTTCTCCGGTATCGCTGTTAAACTTTGAATGTATCGTTTGGCACATTAACTGCTACGCGAGTTTTATATATTTTGCCTTGGGAGTCGCAATAGATTGAAACATACTATACGGAAACGTTAAATTTTTGCAAAATATTATATTATATCGTACTTGCGCACATTCTTCTCTAATAATGTCAATAAATCAGTCACATTGTTGAAAATTTTTCAGTCCACGAAATTTATCTTATTTTAATTATCCTAAAAAATATAGTAAATCGTGAGTCATCGATGACTACCGTGGTAGTTAACGTGTTAATTTCTCCTCTTCTGTTTCGCGCGTTAATCGCCCTAGAAGTCTTCTGCGTACGAACTTTAATTTTTATCTCCGTCATTATGCGACCTAAAATTTTTTCAACAATTATATCAACAACTCGCGAGAGAGAAAAGAATAAGAGAAGAATATTGAAGATAGAAACGACTGCAAGAACGGCAAGACGGTTACTCAGAAGACATAAACGAGCACCGTATCGCGACGAAGTTTCACCGTTAAAGGCAAGACAAGAACGGTTTCGGTGAAATTTTTCGAGATCCGGAAGTAGT